CACGCGCCAGACTCTGCACAGAACTTCGTGTACACTAAGTCACTGAACCCAACAACCACACCACGGCAGCGAGCATCACAGGCCCTTCTCAGGTGCTTCAACTTCCTAGGGGTTTTTCTCGAGAAAAAATACAGTCCAAGGTCTGGTCTCCCAGAGTTATAATAATCATGATCCGCTTTCTTTATTAGTGAAAAATGCATGCATACTACACTTTACAGCCACCAGGAAGAGTTATTCCAGAAGCATTCCGGAAAGCCGAGGCTTCTTACCGTTAGGAGAATGATGCTGGGTGGTTTCATGGGGTACTCCGGTGGCAGCACTATTCACCCATGATAAACTCCTCCATCAAAATCAGAGTCTGGGGGCCCTCTAACTGTGAAGTGCCATTCAAAAAGATTATCCTCTAAAGGCTGTGCGTGGTAATGATCTGTTGGGTCTTTCAACTCTGCTGCTTCTTTCATTAAGTGTTTAACAGCCGGACTCTTCAGGTTGTAGCAGGTCTCCATGGCGGGTGGCTGGCTTGGCTCCAGCCTCCCGGCCCGCCGCTGCCGCCTCTGCGCGCCGCCGCCTCCTGCATCTCCGCTCAGTTCGGGCCGACCGGGTCTGGCCCACCTTTAAGCTTCTGACATATACCTCTATCCTTTGCTAAGGACTCAGATGAGTACCATACACTGTCAACTGTCACAAAGATTCCTTTATTTGCCTTAAACAAAATCTTGGGGGAAGAGCAGGGGAGGGAGAACGATTCAATTGAATGAGACAATTCAGTAGATTATTTTCTTATGTCTGAGAAGAGTTCTAAGAGAAAATGTTTGGTGGATTTAACAAAAGAAACCCTTCTATTAAGTTCACAAGTAAATCATGTATTATGTCGAAAAATACATTTAATAGGCCATTTAGGAAGATCCCCTGGAGAAGGAAATGGCAACCCACTCCAGTATTCTTCCCTGGAGAACCCCATGGACAGAAGAGCCTGGTAGGCTACAGGGTTGCCAAGAGTCAGACATGACTGAAGGACTGAAAGACTTCACTTTCATTTTAGTTAACAAAGGGCTTCCGAGGTAGCTCTAGTGGTAAAGAACCCACCTACCAATGTAGGAAATGTAAGAGACGTGGGTTTGATCCCTGGGTCAGGAAGATCCCCTGGAGGAGGGCACAGCAAACTATTCTAGTATATTCTTGCCTGGAGAATCCCATACAGGAAGCTGGTGGGCTATGGCCCACAGGGTCACAGAATTGGACATGACTGAAATAACTTAGCACGCGCACACAGACTAGTCAACAATTTTGTAGGATGCAGCAATAGAACCACCTCAATCAACAATTACATCCCGTTTTGAACTCAAAACTGCTTGACTCTGTAGCTGGGGATTTGAATTCACACCACAAAGCATCCAGTAAGGGGTAACTGCAAGGAAGGACCTACAAGACTTTCTAGAACACCAAAAAAAAAAAAAATGTCCTTTTCATCAGAGGGGACTAGAATGCAAAAGCAGAAAGTCAAAAAATATCTGGAGTAACAGGCAAGTTTGATGTTGGAGTACAAAATGAAGCAGGGCAAAGGCTAACAGAGTTTTGCAAGAGAACGCACTGGTCATAGCAAATACCCTCTTCCAACAACACAAGAGACGACTCTACACATGGACATCACCAGATGGTCAATACTGAAATCAGACTGATTATACTCTTTACAGTTGAAGATGGAGACACTCTATACAGCCAGCAAAAACAAGACTGGGAGCTGACTGTGGCTCAGATCATGAACTCCTAATCACCAAAGTCAGACTTTACTTGAAGAAAGTGGGGAAAACCACTAGGCCATTCAGGTATGACCTACATGAAATCCCTTACAATTATACAGTGGAAGTAACAAGCAGATTCAAGGGGTTAGATCTGATAGAGTGCCTGAAGAATTATGGATGGAGGTTCGTGACATTGTACAGGAGGCAGTGATCAAGACCATCCCCAAGAAAAAGAAAGGCAAAATGGTTGTCTGAGGAAGCCTTACAAATAGCTGAGAAAAGAAGAGAGGCGAAAGGCAAAGGAGAAAAGGAAAGATATAGCCATTTGAATGCAGAGTTCCAAAGAATAGCAAGGACAGATAAGAAAGCCTTCCTAAGTGATCAATGCAAAGAAATAGAGGAAAACAATAGAATGCAAAAGATGAGATCTTTTCAAGAAAATTAGAGATACCAAGGGAATATTTCACACAAAGATGGGCACAATAAAGGACTGAAATGGTATGGACCTAACAGAAGCAGAATGAGCTTCCCTGGTGGATCAGACGGTAAAGCATCTGCCTACAATGCGGAAGACCCAGGTTCAATTCCTGGGTTAGGAAGATCTCCTGGAGAAGGAAATGGCAACCCACTCCAGTATTCTTGCCTGGAAAATCCCATAGATGGAGGAACCTGGTGGGCTACAGTCCATGGGGTCGCAAAGAGTCGGACACGACTGAGCAACTTCATATCATATCATATCATATCATATCAACAGAAGCAGAAGATATTAAGAGGGGACAAGAATACACAGAAGAATTATACAAAAAAGATATTAATGACTCAGATAACCACAATGGTGTGGTCACTCACCTAGAGCCAGACATCCTGGAGTGTGAAGTCAAGTGGGCCTTAGAAAACAACACCATGAACAAAAATAGCAGAGGTAATGGAATTCCAGCTGAGCTATTTCAAATAATCTTTTAAGATGATCCTGTTAAAGTGCTGCACTCAATATGCCAGCAAATTTCGAAAATTCAGCAGGGGCCACAGGACTGCAAAGGTAGGTTTACATTCTAATCCCAAAGAAAGGCAATGCCAAAGAATGTCCGAACTACTGCACAATTGCACTCATTTCACATGCTAGCAAAGTAATGCTCAAAATTCTCCAAGCTAGGCTTCAACAGTATGTGAACCGAGAACTCCCAGATGTTCAAGTTGGACTTAGAAAAGGCAGAGGAACCAGAGATCAAATTGCCAACATCTGGGGGATCATAGAAAAAGCTAGAGAATTCCAGAAAAATATCTACTTCACTGACTACAATAAAGCCTTAGACTGTGCAGATCACAACAAAGTGTGGAAAATTCTCAAAGAGATGGGAGTACCTGACCACCTTATCTGCCTCCTGAGAAACCTATATGCAGGTCAAGAAGCAATAGTTAGAACTGGACACAGAACAACAGACTGGTTACAAATTGGGAAAGGAGTATGTCAAGGCTGAATANATGCTGGGAAAGATTGAAGGCAGGCAGAGAATGGGATGACAGAGGATGAGATGGTTGGATGGCATCACTGACTCAATGGACATGACTCTGCTCAAGCTCCAGGAGATGGTGAAGGACACGGAAGCCTGGCGTGTCCGCAGAGTCAGACACAACTGAGCAACTGAACAACAGCAGCTGCAATGAAGAAAGCAAGAGTAGAAAATAATAATCATACAGATACACAAAAGCTGGAATATTTATGTTAATGTAAATCAGATCAAGTCATCTCAAATGACTTCCCTTTACACTTAGAATAAAATCCAAAGATAGCACCATGGTCTCCCAGATACTATGAAAAAGCCCTCACTACCTCTGACCTCATTTCCTACCACTCTCACCCTCACTGACTGTAATACAAAGCCCTTGCTTCTCAAAACAGGCAAGACTGTTTGAGGCCTTTGCAGTTGCTGTTCCTTTCCCAAATATTCACATAGTTCACCTCCTCATTTCATTAGGCCTTTTCATTATCACCTTCTCAGAGGCCCACCTGACCATCTTATATAAAACAGCACCCCACTTTAGCCCTCTCCATCTGCTTTTCATACTTTTTCCTACAGCATGTGATTATCTGACACTGTACTAATTGAATGAAAATTTATTTCTCCTACTCTAGATTATAAGCTCTATTATAGTAGACTTTTGTTCATTTATCCTGCACCTAAAACAGCGCAGAGTGAGTGGTCAATAAATATTTATTTAATTTAGTCAGCTACAATTTCTCAAAACTGTGTGCACTTAAATATTGACAGTATGGCTACCCTCACTTTACGGTTTACAAGAAACTACGGCATATAAAAGTTAAAAAAGGACCTAAGAACAAAGCGAGTACAAATGTCAAGACTTGATGAATGATTCCTGAAATGGGTGAATGGACGCAAAATCCGGTTTGTACGTGCTGAGGGAAACCCAAACCATACATGAACACCAGTTAAAATGCTGGCCACACAGAAAGAAGGCAAACAGAACCAAGTCTCTTTTCTAAGGCCATAACCTTATTATATTGCCCTCATAACAACCTCACGGCGTAAGGACAGCAGGTACGTTCATTAACAGCAAGACTGACGCCACACTTCGCAGCTGGCAGGGGTGGCAGGTCCAGCCCAGCACTCACCGGTTCGTACAGTTACATAATCGATACTCAGAACCTCGGGCTTTCTCCCGCCCCTGCGCTGGGCTCACGTGGCGGGCCTCGCGACCGGAAGCAGCCTCAAGCGAACCTCGGCGGTTGGTGAATCCGAGGAACAGTTCCCGAGCTGGAGCAAGGGTGAGCGGTCACGGTGATGCTTACGTCAGAGCGCGGCGGGAACTAAAGACCCGCCGGCCTAGAGGGATTCGTCCACGCGGCTCTGCGGTCCCTCTGATTGGCCGACAGGATGACGTAGCACGTTTACAAGGGGCTCTGCGGCAATGGCAGTGTGCGTCAGCTCTGCGCTATCGGAGAGAGGAAAATGGGGCGTGCCTGACCGCCCAGGGGGCCCGCTGATTGGCTGGAGGGCGGCGGCGCCTGGCCCGGGCCGCCGGAGGAGGGCGGTGCCGTGGGCCTGCTCCGGGTTTACTGGCGACCGGCTTCAGTAAGATGAACATGGCAGCTCGGACAGGTCAAAGAGCCCTTAAAAAGGTGGTCTTGGGATGCCGTCCGAAGTCGGCGGCAGCCGCCAGAGCCCCGGCTCCAGCCGCCAGAGCCCCGGCTCCAGCGCAGGTGCCTGCGAGGAATGTCAGGTAATGAACAACGGGGGCGCCTCAGCGAGGGTAATTTCTCCCTCCCCACGGCCTGCTGAGCAAGGGGACCCGGGACATTTGCGGTGAGGTAGGCGGATCGGATGGGTTTCCGCGTCTATGCAGACAAAGGGCCTACTGCCTTCGGCGAGTGACGAACTCAGGCCCCCTCTCCCCGCCCCCTTGGCCGGAGGGTCGCCAGCCTGTCCAGGCCGTCCCATCTTGTGTTCGTGGTTCCCAGCCCTCGCGAGAGGCGGTGAATCATTCCGCTCAGCTACTTGGAAGCCGCTGATGAAGCCACTGGATGGGGCGGGGGGGTGCCTTTGCGCTCTTCCGGTCTCCTCCCCTACGGCCTACTACTGCTGTTCTCCGGAAGTTATAACTGCGGCGCAGGAGTTGGGGGTTGATGGACGTGGGGGTTTGTGGCCTGTCAGTGAGTCCCCTTTTGTTTCTGCAGAGTGTCCGATGGCCAGAGGTGCTTTCCCCAGTTTCTGGTAGGTGGTCTTTGCCCACCTCCGCCCCCACTTTGGTGCTAAACTAAAACGAAGTATGGGACTTGGATTTTTTCCCCCTGCCTTTGTAAATTAGCAGTCCTGTAACCTTGAGTCAGAGTCTGCCTTCGATTTTCCAGGTTGGTTCTTTTTTGGTAGGTTGTGGAAGAGGAGACCTGAAATTTTCCATATTTCCACCAGTTTCCTTTTATTAATGACACTTCAATAAATTATGCTCGAAAATTTAAAGTTAACTTTTAAAATTAATTTAGTTGTAATCTGTACGGGATGGAGGGAGAAAGCACAAATCTGGTTGAGCTCCTTCCAGGACATTTAGAGTCAACGAATTTTTTAAAATATCAACAACCCAATGAACTCTAAATCCTTTTAGACATTTTTTGGTCGAAACTGAAATAAAATCATCTCATATCCTCACCCTTGCTTTAGGAAATAGCTTTTAAAAAGTTCCAAGCAAAACACTGTATCATACTTTAGATCTGCTTGTATTGCTCTTATAAAATGCTGGCTGTTACTTTTGAGAAAAAAAATTGCTTTAGTGATCAAATTAAGGTTTAAGTTTCAGTATAAATATTTACTGTTTATGATAATGAAAAGGGAGATAATTTATGAGTTCATTGCAAGGCTGATTCTGGCCTTTATTATAATACAGTATTTAGGAGGTAGCACTGGGCTTCCATGGTGGCTCAGAGGGTAAAGCGTCTGCCTGCAATGTGGGAGACCTTGGTTCGATCCCTGGGTCGGGAAGATTCCGTGGAGAAGGAAATGGCAACCCATTCTAGTATTCTTGCCTGGAGAATCCCACGGATGGAGGAGCCTGGTAGGCTACAGTCCACGGGGTTGCAAAGAATTGGACACGACTGAGTGACTTCACTTTATTTCACTTCAGTTCACTGGAAGTTTAGTGACCAAAAATCTGTCCTTCTTTTGTTCAGTTTTCATTCCATGGTTTAATAAACATGTGTATGGCTGTAAGGTTCTCATATTGTAGTTGAAGATACACTGTTCTTGATAAAGTATGAAGATGGATGTGCTGTCCAGGGCATTGTAACCGTAATATGCAAACTGATCAGAAAACTCCTGTTGTGCTCAGTCCGGTCCGACTGTGTGTGACCCCCATGGATTGTCACTTGGTCACTTTTCCTCCACCCACGTAGCATCTGTTACATCTCACCTGCATCTCTAGTTCACTGTTACCTTCTCTCTCATTCTGCTCTTTTTTGTACTAGTCATTGCTGTTCTGTCGCTGTCATGTCCAACTCTTTACGACTTCATGGACTGCAGCATGCCAGGCTCCTCTGTCCTCCACCGTCTCCTGAAGTTTGCTCACACTCCTGTCCATTGAGTCAGTGATGCTATCTAACCATCTCATCCTCTGCTGCCCTCTTCTCTTTTCGCAGTCAATCCCTCCCAGCATCAGGGTCTCTTCTAATAAGTCGGCTCTTCACATCAGGTGGCCAAAGCATTGGAGTTTCAGCTTTAGCATCAGTCCTTCCAGTGAATATTCAGTGTTTATTTCCTTTAGGATTGACTGGTTTGATCTCCTTACAGTCCACTCCTGATCTTCTTACTGAATAGCCCCAATTTCGTCAATCATTCTTTAACTCAATTTTCTCTTCCAGCCACACTATGAGATGTTGGTGTCCTTAAAGAAGTTTTATTTATACGTAAATCATATTTTATATGAATCAAATTTTGTATACAACATGAGATTTCACCAGGCCACTCCGTTCTCTGTTAAAAAAAATAACTTGAAGACTTGATTTAATGAGATATTATTCTCTTAGGTGGAACACTTTAAGAGCATCTCATTGAGAATCAATCCCAGATTGCTTTGTCCTGATCAGTAGTCCCCAGCATGATCCAGCTCCAGCCTCTCTCTAACATTATTTCATTGTGCTCTCGCCCTGGCTTGCTATACTGCTGTTGCAGTGTTCATCTTTTTGAGAGTCTGGATGCTGCCAGGCTTTTTCCTTAGTACTTGCAGTGGGCTGTATCTACCTCACCTCCTCCCATGTGCAGACAACACATATGTGTGTATGAGAGAGAGATCTTATGTATGTGTACACACACATTATGTACATACATAACTATTTCACCCTTTACATGGCTGTTGTTGTTCAGTTGCGTCTGACTCTTTGCAACCCCATGGACTGCAGCACGCCAGGCTTCCCTGTCCTTTACCATCTCCCAGAGGTTGCTCAAGCTCATGTCCGTTGAGTCAGTGATGCCATCCAACCATCTCATTCCCTGTCATCCTCTTCTCCTCCTGCGTTCAATCTTTCCCGGCATCAGGGTCTTTTCCACTGAGTTGGCTCTTCGCATCAGGTGGCCAAAGTATTGGAGCTTCAGCATTAGTCCTTCCAATGAATATTCAGGGTTGATTTCCTTTTATTATTGACTGGTTTGATCTCCTTGCAGTCCAGTGGACTTTGAAGAGTCTTCTCCAGCACCACAGTTTAAAAGCATTAATTCTTTGGTGCTCAGCCGTTTTTATTTTCCAGCTCTCACATCCATACATGTCTATAAAAACCATAGCTTTGACTATACATACCTTTGTAGGCAAAGTAATGTCTCTGATTTTTAATACGCTCTCTAGGTTTGTCATAGTTTTTCTTCCAAGGAGCAAGCATCTTTTAATTTCATGATTGCAGTTACCACCCACAGAGATTTTTGAGCCCAAGAAAATAAAGTCTGTCACTGTTTCCATTGCTTCCTCATCTATTTGCCATGAAGTGGTGGGACCTGGTGCCATGACCTTAGTTTTTTGAATGTTGAGTGTTAGCCAGCGTTTTCGCTCTCCTCTTTTACCTTCATCAAGAGGCTCTTTAGTTCCTCTTCGCTTTCTGCCATAAGGGTGCTATCTTCTGCATATCTGACATTATTGACATTCCTCCCAGCAATCTTGATTCTTATGCTGCATCCAGCCCAGCATTTTGCATGATGTACTCTGCATATAAGTTAAAATATATATACAGCTCCTATATATATATATATATATATACACACACATACATACATGTATATATACATACTCCTTTCCCAGTTTGGAACCAGTCTATTGTTCCATGTCTGGTTCTAACTGTTGCTTCTTGACCGGCATACAGGTTTCTCAGGAGGCAGATAAGGCGGTCAGGTATTCCAGCTCTTTAAGAATTTTCCACACTTGACTGTTAACCTTCACAGCCAAAGGTTTTAGCGTAGTCAATGAAGCAGATGTTTTTCTGGAATTCTCTAGCTTTTTCTATGATCTGCCAGATGTTGGGAATTTGATCTCTTGTTCTTCTGCCTTTTCTAAATCCAGCTTATACATCCGAAGTTCTCAATTCACATATTTATTGAAGCCTAGCTTGAAGAATTTTGAGCCTTACTTTGCTAGCACATGAAATGAGTACAACTGTGCAGTAGTTTGAATGTTCTTTGACATTTCCCTTCTTTAGAATTGGGATGAAAACTGACATTTTCCAGTCCTGTGGCCACTACTGAGTTTTCCAAATTTGCTGACATATTGAGTGCAGCACTTTAACAGGATCATCTTTTAGGGTTTGAAATAGCTCAGCTGGAATAACTCCTCCTTACCCATTATGTCTCAGCTGAAATACAACCTCGGAGGACTTCCTGGATCACCCTGTCAAAAGGAGGTCCTAATTACATGTCCCCACACCCATTTCTATTTTCGTGGCTTATTTAATCCTCAACTAGAATGTAATCTTTATGTTTGTTTTATTCACCATTATATGTCTGGTGCCTGGCACAGAATAGCAGCTCAGTAAATATGTGAACTAATGCACAGATAGTGGTGTATAATAGCTATTCAATAATCTTAACTAGTGTAAAGGCTAAAAATAGGTGAACAAGAGCGTATCAGGCATCTGTATTACGAAGTACCCTAAACAGTTAACATTCTAATTACCTTGACATATGTTTTTACATGTACACATAGAAATGGAGATTGGAAGGTGAAAGATCAATTGCACAATAGGTCTGGCAGGCCTGCCACAGACACAGTGAAGAGGGGGGCCTAACTTCAGATCTCATAGAGTAGATCAAGAATTAAGGAAACCCCTGTGGATGCAGCTGGGAAAACAAGGTGGGTAGGTTAGTTAAAAATTGGACAATGAATATTCTCCCACCCTAGGGCAGGAATATGTTGTTTACACATGTCTGCAGACTAAAAGCCAACTCTGAGAGATACCTTTTGAGCCTGAAGGCTCCAACCCTGACTGTAAGCTGGTGTTTTTAGTTTTCTTTATGGTGCTCAAGAAGCTTATTTTTTGCATGTGTAATTTTTTTGGGAATATTCTAAGGTTGTAAACACCTTCTGAAGTATGATTGTTATTTAACTGTCTCTAATTTGTTTCCTCTTAATTGTCAATGTTACTCAATCAGGTAATTTTTGTCTTTTCAGTTATTTAGCTTCCTGTGGTATACTGATGAGCAGAGCTCTTCCACTACATACCTCACTTTTGCCTAAGAAGATACATGCAAGAACCTTCTTCAGAATTGCTGCACCATTAATAAACAAAAGAAAAGAATATTCAGAAAGGAGAATTATAGGGTTTGTATATAGTAATAGGTCTACTAAAAGAGCATGTTCACAGTGTTCTTTAGAATATTGTGCCTCTTTTTTTCTAGATTCGTTTCTTACAGACCAAGCTCTGATTTTGTCACCCTTGCTATTTTATAAATATTGGTTGAATGAATATAATCATATGGTAACTTTATAGGATAGGTTTAAATCTTGACATTTAAAGAAAATAAACTGTTTATGTCCTGCATTTTTGTACACTGTTCTTTTTTATAGTGGCATCATTACTGATATGTTGGGCCAAGTATGTTTGTATAGCTCCCTCACCTGCACACATACACACATACATAGGTAAGTATCTATAAACATGCTAAGAGGCCCCTGCCATCCAGAGGAGAGGTTGGCAAACTTTTTCTGTCAAGGGCCAGTTGGTAAATAGGTTTGTGGGCCATACTGTCTCTGTTGCAACTACTCACACGGTCAGTGTAGCCCAGAACTAACCATGGACAATGTGCAATAAATGGGCATGGTTGTGTTCCAGTAAAACTGTTTACAGAGTCAGGCAGGAACCCAGGCTCCCTCCCACTTGGTACTTTTGTAATTGCTTAGTCTTCAGGATCTCTTAAAAAGGTACACCTGATGCTTAATCATGTTGGTCCTGCAAGTGACACACAGTGCTTACTCTTAGATATTATTGGCAAGAAGTAGTCATGCGACAGCTGTTTAATTTGTAGCCTTCTGGTGGCCAGCAATAATGCCACGTAAAGCAAGCCTTAATACTTGGAGAGGTGGACATCTTTCCCCCAGCTGGTGTCTTATAAAAACAGAAATGGCAACAAAAAGATGAGAAATCAAATAGTGAATTGGTCTGCTTTACTTTTGAATTACTAATAATATCTCCCTTTGACTGTGACTTGTCATTTGACAGGCCTGCTGGGTACTCTATATTGTTTCTTTTAAGTCTCACAGTAATCATGTGATCTAGGTATTTTTCCCATTGTAAAGATGAAGAAACTGAAGCTGAGAAATTATGTTGTGTCGTGACTCCAAAGCTTATTTTTCCCACTATATTTATTTATTCTCTCTTGCTTCCTTATTCTTTCTGGTACTAAAATTCTTTTTATTACAAATTGGTCTTATCTAATGATCACCTTCCCCCATATATTGTTTGATGTAAACACATAGTAATAGCTGCCATTTATGAAATGCTTAATAAGCATTGTGCATTATGCCAGAACTCTTTCCTTTAACCCTTAAAATAACTCTGTAGAGGTATTTTTCAATTATGGATGAAGAAAATTGAGAGGTTAAGCAACCTAGTCAGGGTCACATGAAATTACTATGTTTTAAAATTGATATTTGAACACAATAGAGTACGTTTATGCGAATAGCTTCCAGGCTACTGGGTCTCATATATCTTCATGGGATTTATATTGGCATTTATTTCCAAGTGTCTAAGAACATGGGGAGAGAAGAGTAGGTTTGTTTAGTCTTTCCTCTGTGGGCCTCATTTCATGATCATAAAGATTAATTTAAATATACATGAACACTCATTCTGTCATATTCCAAACATACCCTTTGAAAATTTAGAATGTGGTGGTTTACTGCAGCATTTTGAGATGAATTCTACTTTAGCAGTGTTGACTCTTTATAACCAAGAATGAAGGAAAAAAAAAACCAAGAATGATACGTGTCTGGTTTTCATTGTTCAGTTGTCTTTTTTGTTGTTGTTGTTCAGTTGTCTTTATATGTATCCACAGTGTGTNGGCTTCCCTGGTGGCTCAGAGGTTAAAGCATCTGCCTGCAATGTGGGAGACCTGGGTTCGATCCGTGGATTAGGAAGATCCCCTGGAGAAGGAAATGGCAACCCACTCCAGTATTCTTGCCTGGAGAATCCCATGGACAGAGGAGCCTGGCGGGCTACAGGCCCCAGGGTCGCAAAGAGTCGGACACGACTGAGCGACTTCACTTCACTTCATGGGATACCTTACTGTAAACCCTTATATGTCTTTGTTGAATTTATTTCTAGGTATTTTACATTTGTATGCTACTGTTTTCTGTTTGTTAGTATAGAAACAGTATTAGTTTTTATATATTTCTTAGTAGGCTACCTAACTGAATTCTTGATTGATTGATTTTTGATTTGATAGTCATATCACCTGCCAGTTTATAATTTTGCCTAATTCTTTTCCACCCGTGTGCCCATATTTCATGCTCTGATTTAATTTCTTTGACATTTTAGAACAATGTCAAATGACAGTAATGATAGCATCATTGGCTTCTTTCTTTTTTTTTTTCTCCATTGGCTTCTTTCTAATGCTAATAGTAATGCTTCTTATATTTTACCATCTGTGAAGGGACTTGTACAATGATTTTGTTTTGGCTAAATAATATGGTTATAATAATTCTTAGTACTGCACCATCCATACTATGTATGTACTATGGATGGTTCATCCATACATCCTTAGATGAGTTGTATATGATTGTTTTATTTTTTTTAATATATTATTGGGATTATATTTGCTGGTATTTTACCTAGAAGTTTTGCTTCAGTACTCACAGGTAATATGGATTTATAGATTTTGTTTTTTATGTTCTTTGTGAAGTTTGGGTTGGCAGGATGTTACGCTGGCTCATAAAGAGTGAGAAGTTCCCCTTTTTTATGTTATAGAATTGATTTTTTTTCTTAATTACAAAATGTTTGCATACTTGTATAAACACTTAACAATTTAGGAGTATATAAACTAGAATGAAAAGAAAAACAAAAGAAAATAGAAAAAAAGAATTTAAAAAAGACAGAAAAAAAGAAAAAATAGAAATATATATATTAAAGAGTTAGTCTGTTTTTAATCCTACTCTTTTTTCCTGAATTAACAACTGGTAATTGTTTAATTTGTATCATTTTAGGACTTTTAAAATATATTTTCATTACAGACAGTCTATTAACATAATTTTCAGAAAAAGCAAATATCAATTGTTTAAAATTGAGGAATTACAGTATACACTTATAATATTTCTCAAATGGATAATAAAATTGTATATAAAGCAGACAAGATATATACAATTTTATTATCTATTTAAGAAATATTGTAAGTGTATAGTGTATTTCCTCGATTATTAAACACTTTGATATTTGTGCCTTTTTTCATGTAGCAATATATTTCAGACCTCTTTGCTCTAAAGTATATGGTTGACCCTTGAAAGATGGGGGGTTTGGGAGTACAGACCCCCCATGCAGTAAAAAGAAAAAAAAAAAAATGCATGCTACTATGTCTGTTTCAAAACAAGGAATTGATAAATGATTTATCCAAAGGCAGGAAGCTGAAACAGTTTGTATAAAATCAAGACTCAAACCTTAGTTTATTTGATTCCACATATTGTGACTTCTAATTGAACACAAACTTTCCCCCACATTTAATTTAAAAATCTGTAAAACAAAAATACAGATACTATATTTTCAAAGAAATTCTTATGTAAGTAGACCCACACAGGGCAAAGCTGTGTCTTTCAAGGGTGAACTGTACATTTGATCTTCATCCTTTTAGATAACTGATTAATTCCACAGTATGAATGTACCATAGTTCATCAGCCATTTATTATAAAGCAGTATTAATGTGTGTGCCAGATGACTTATTGCCTCGTACACAGTAAGTTTTATTATTTATTCAGTTTAAAGCAGGGGTCCCCAACCTCTGGGGTCTAATACCTGATGATTTGAGGTGGAACTGATGTAATAATAATAGCAATAAAGTATCCAGTAAATGTTGTGTACTTGAATCGTCCTGAAACCATCCTCTCTTCCCCATTCCATGGAAAAATTGTCTTTCACAAAACTAGCCCCTGGTGCCAAGAAGGTTGGGGACTGCTGGTTTAAAGTGTGTATGCACTGTCTAAATAGGTGCAGTTAACACCTTTCCTTTTTTTTTAAGTTATTCTATGCAGGAAATGTATGATGTAGTATCTGGAGTGGAGGATTACAAGCATTTTGTTCCTTGGTGTAAAAAATCAGATATAATATCAAGGAGATCTGGATACTGCAAAGCGCGATTGGAAATTGGGTTTCCACCTGTGCTGGAGCGCTACACATCAGTAGTGACATTGGTGAAACCTCATTTAGTGAAGGTAACGGTTTTGTTTTTTGTTGTTCTTAAATATTCTTCAACTAGTGATATATTAAATGGATTAATGTATAATAGTTTAAGAAGATTTCCCTGAACTAATAGGAAGGAAAAAAAAACTGTTATATCACTTAAGTTGTGTTATTTTATACAATATTAGCATAATTCTTTCCAAATAGAAATTTAACTAGAACATGGAAATGAGAAGCTTTTTCTTTTGTCCTTCTGTTGAGAACTACTGACCTCTAGGAAAGATTCAGCCACACAAGTGAGAAATGTTTTAATTTAATATTGATACTTGTGTTTTTTTTTTAAGTTAAGGCAGGGAAAGTGGTGAGAGGATGAAGAAAGATAGAAAAGATATAAATGTGGAGCATATAAACATTGTTGAAGTCATCCTGCCATGTACCAGGTACTGAAATGCCAGGTACTGTTGCATGCATTATATTAATCATCTTACCCTTCTCAGAGAAGGGTACACATACAGAAAAGGTACTCGGACTTCAACACATGAAAAAAGAGAATTCCAGAGTTACATTACCATTTATTTTGACTTCCTAGAGTGCGGTGAACAAAGGCTTTCAAAGCTTGGATTGTGTGGTTTTGTGCCCACTTGATTTAGTAGTGGTATCATTTCTTGGTTATTGGCCAGAGCTAAGTGCCTTTTTCACCTCCTTGTCAGTCACTGAGGACATGCAGCTCTCATACCAGAAAGAATATACTGTCCAGTGAAGCTAAGACATGGGAGTCCACCCTAGTCCCACTGTCAAAACATCAACTCCACTTAAAAGTCTGTGCCGCATTCTGAGACTTTACTATTATTATAACTGTTTTCACCTGTTTGCCTCATAGTTTTGAAGTTTTTACTTACTATAGTGCACTGCCTCTCTTATAGTAGCTAATGCATTAAGCTCTATAGTGCTTTCTTTACTTGAATTGTTTAATCTTCACAACAGCCCTTTGAGATGCAGATTTTATTATCCTCCATCATCGTATGGTTGAGTATGCTAAGACTTCAAAGAGTTAGATAGCTTGCCTAGGGTTACACAGCCAAGACTCTGTAGTCTGTCTGACAACAGTGACTATCTCTATAAATCTTAAAATTGAGTCCCCTGACCTCAATCTCTTACCATTCAGATTCTTA